GTGGGCCTAAGCCAGCAGGAGGACATCCCCCGAGGTGTCCTGGACCATGAGAGGGCGCAGGCCTGGCTGGGGACCCCTCTCCCCCAGGGCATGAATGTTGTGTACTGGGCCTCTAGTATGTTATAGAGGCTAATTTTGACTCCCCTACTTGACCCATTAGTATTTATTTTCTTTGATTTGGTAGATCTTCTCAATTTGGGGGGTAGTTTCTAATTTTTCTCATAGCCAAGGACACCTTTGTCCTTCTGAGTGAAGGCATTACTGTGGGGAGCAGCAGAACCTAGGCTTCTCTAAACTGTCTCCTCTCCCCTCAAAACTCTCCTCTATTTAAAACAAAACAAAACAACAAAACATTCAAAGGAGGAGTTCTTTAACTCCCTGTCTCCACTGTCCTTTTCCCCTTGTTGAGTTGAGAGGACATCCTCTCCTGGGAGAAGTGTGTCCTTCCCGGGTGATGACACTTTAATGCTTACATAAAGCATCAAGCTGAACCATATCAGAACACGCCTCGCTGGGATTCAGACATAATTGTAAAATGACCCTATCCTGGTCTTCAATTATTGCACCACAGCCTTGCTGTGGAGCATGCCTTTCACTCTAGCCTCATCTGGTTTCTCAAGCGTCCAGCCCTGCACACACCCGTCTGTTGTATATTTAACCTTTGGGTAAATGGGAACACAGAAGTGATTTCTACAACTTCTATCAGGAAATGGTGACCCCTTTACTTCTTGCTGTCAGCTGGGGCCCCAGCACTGACTCTTGGTACCCACCTGCAGCTCCCCTGCACAGCCGCCTTTCCTCTGGCGAGGGCAGCCCTCGTGGGGCACACACAGGCGGCAGCAACAGTTGCAGTGTTGTCCTCATTTACCACGTACTACTGGCCAATGTTTACAGGAAGGTCTGCGTTTGGCATCTCCAGGATGATATTCTGTTTATCAAATTAAGTACTCTCTTTGAGTGGCACCCTTTCTGAAGGTAGGGAGTTGTGTAGAGCAGTGAGAAGACCCTCTTTCTTCTGGAAGTCTTCAGGGGCACACTTAAAATATCAAACAACACCCAAAAACATTTGCTCCTTATTTCTCTTGTTTGCCTTCCTTCATATTCCTATGTCACACTGCTTGAAATTGTGTTCAGCAATGCATTTCTTTCTGTCTTGTATCGTGGTTGTTTCTGGGTCCGTCTCCCTCACTAAACTGTGATTTCCTTCAGGGTGGAGTTGTGTGTATTTGCATCTGTACCTTTAGCATGAACCTAGTTGTCTGAAAATGACTGGTGCTTCTCAAGTGTGTGTAGAATGGGGAAGGACTTGACAGTGTCTCGGATGCTGTGTGTCCTGTCCCTCCTGCTCAGAGCATTTTGATTTTCTTAATGTCCAAAGCTCAGTCCTTGGAACAGAAACAACTTATTTTGTATCTGTCCAACCAGGTAGTGCAGTTCTGTATGAGAATCCAGTAAATGAACCAGAAATATGCTCATAAGGCATGCGAATGCATCTGTAGAGGCAATTCAGCAGAACAAATCCATTAGTTGAAATTATCCTTCATGGTACTAAACGAAAGCCACCCTGTCCCTAGTAAATGTGCTTTGCTAGTTGTAGATTAATAGTCCTGAGTGCAGCAGATCCACAGCTTCTCCTCCTGCCGTCTGGAGCAATGTTCTTGCATGACGAGGACGCAGCAGCTCCCCATCCGCATTTCTCTCCTGCCCTGGGTGTTTTCCTCGCACCCGCCCTTGGCCTCTGTCAGAGGGTACTACTGCATGCTTCTCTCTCCCATCTTCTTTTTTCCTCCCTGACAGTTCTTAGCATCATAATGCAGTGCTTTGCTCTTTTACATCTTTAAGTATTAAAAACAATCCTTGTTAGGATTTTTAAACAAAGGAAAGCATAAAGAAACAAAAATGGTGTCCCACACAGATAAACCTCTGTTGATGGTATGAATAACTACTATATTCATGTGGTTTCAAGAGATAAAATGATATATGATGTTTAAACTTCCTACCCTGCCCATCTACCCTCCATGTTTCTCTCCCCAGTGGTAATTCCAGTTAATATGTTAGGTGTGTTTTCCCATAAAAATGTTTTAAATATGCACACCAACATTAAACTTGAAATGGATTTATGTGTATCTTTTCTGTTTACATAAAACAATCCCAAGAAAGCTGCTCTGAATCTATCTGTTACCATTTAATATATTGTATATTATTTATATGTCTCTATTGCTGCCTTCTCTCTCCCCATCTACCTTATTTTTATAACCGATGCATAGTATCCCAGTGTGTGGATGGTCTAAGTTATTGCACCAGTTCCTTATTAATGGGTATTATGACTTGTACTTGAATTTTTACTATTTTAATAGTACAACTGTGATGATCTTTATACAGACATCTTTGAACACTTCTTCAAAGGATGTGTACATTTTACATGTTGATGTTATTGCTATATTGTCCTCCAAAAACTAAATTAGTTTTTACTACCTTAGATACTCCCCCAAAGTGCTTGAATGTACCTAATTATCAGAGAGGAAGGGAGAGGGAGAGAGAGATAGAAACATCAGTGGTAAGAATCATTGATTAGCTGCCTTCTACATGTCTCCTCCTGGGGATTGAGCCAGCAACTGGGACATGTGCGCTAACCTGCTGGTTCATAGGTCAATGATCAACCACTGAGACATACTGGCCAAGCTGAACTGCTTCTTTAAATTTTTTTTAAATTTGATTTTAGGTGGAGGAAAGGGGAGAGAGAGATAGAGGGAGGGAGGAAGAGAGAGAGAGAGAGAGAGAGAGAGAGAGAGAGAGAGAGAGATGGTTTGTTTCTGGCACACACCTCCAACCAAGGAACAACCTGAAATCTAGGTATGTGTCCTGACCAGGAATTGAACCTGTGACCTTCTGGTGGCTTGTACCACCAATTGAGCCACACCATCCAGGGCTGTGAACTGCTTCTTCCTATCCTTTGGCTCTTATTGGTTCATATGGGGTCTTTAGCCACCTCCTTAGACCTTTCTTGAGCCTCTATCTAAAATAGTAACTGAGCCACTGAGCCTCACGTGGCTGGGTTGATTGACACATCTTCCAGTACAGGGAAAAGGTTGTGGGCTTAATTCCCGGTCACGGCACATACCTAGGTTGCTGGTTCGATCTCTGGTGGGGTGTGTGCAACCGATAGATGTTTTTCTCTCACATTGATGTTTCCCTCTCTCACCTCCTACCTCAAATCAATAAATATCCTCTGGTGAGGATAAGAAAGGAAGGCATAAGCCAATAAGAACAAGCAGTTCAGGAGACTGCCATAAAGAAAAGGTATCAGCAATTTTGGAAGCTGAAAAGTAGAGAAGGAAAAGTCAGAACTCATTTGCAAGAAGTAATCCCAAGGCAAGTCAGGAATTATAGGCACCTGGTACCTCTGATGGCTGGCATTGAAAAGAGGAGGGTGAATTGGAAGTCTAAAAGAGGAGCTCCTCCCCACCACATTGAAAGTTAAAAAATATATATAGAGAGAGAGTTGTAAGGGTGAGGAAGGAGTATGGTGGTGTACTGGGGGAAAGTTGGGGTTAGGATGGAGGTAGTAATAGAGCCATAAATCTTCCTCCATAGTAGGAAGTCAAAAGATAATACAATTGAAAAATAAGAGATAGAAGAATATGCATGCGATTAAAGAGGTAATTGAACATGAAACCATCCACAGTACTGAAGTGATTGTGGGGGCCAGGGTGAGGACTGTAGTAGTACTGTAACCTGGCAGACTTTTAAAACTATGTACATATATTATAGTGACAGAAATTAAGATGAAAGAGTCTTTAAGCTACTGTGAAAAAGTGAGTCTCCCTAGGACAAGAGTTGGCATTTGGTATTTAGTGAATGTGTGTGGAATGGTTGAATGAATATCATTCAATTATTTAGAAAACTCTCTAATTTTCCCTTATTGTTGGTGACATATTGGAATTAGAATTAAATAACCTACTTTAAGGATTGATGAGTAATGTATTTGTAATATCACAATATAAGAAACCAGTTTTTATTTTATTTTGGGAGCTATAGAACTTTGGAAGATCTTTGAATAAAGTTTAAAATAATGTAAATTTGGACTTTGAATTTATTTTATACTTTTCATCAAGGAATTTTGGAGGTTAAAATATACGTGTTGGTATATGTTTATCAAAACATGGCAGTATTTTCTATACCAGACAATCTCTCTGGCTCAGGCACTAACATAGGAGAGGAGCTTATAACCCTTCCCTTTGTCTTTTTCTTTGAAATGAGGTTAAAACTCAGTCTACCTCGAGGTAGGTAGTTGAGTATTAGAGAAACCCTGGCACCTAGTTCTTTGGATTAATACTGTAAACATAGTAACTGAGTTTGGAAGTTGTTACTTCTTTCAAGAGGATAATCAGAATGTCAGAAGCTAGAGATTAAGTTGTAGTAAGGTGATCTCCTTTTCAAAGCACAGTATCTCCTGCAGAAAGTTCAAAGTTCTAATATTAGAAGTAACTTGTCAATGATAGGTTGAGTGATTATTCTCTAGGATGGAAAACATTTTACTAATGGAATTGCACTATAGAATTGAATCCAATATTTATTTGTAAGTTCCTTTGGATTTGTTTGGAAAGAGATGCTAGAGAAATGACCAATAAATAGTATTTTGTGGCATTATTTAAGGAACAAATTTGATTTCTTTTACTTGGTAAGACACAGGTAAGTTTGACTCACATTGTGATTCCCTCTGTGTGTGTTGTAATATCTTGATCTAATATCTTGAACATGCACATTTGGCTTTTTAATCTCACTATTTTACAGTTGGAGAGCTATTGTTTGATTAAAGCATAATTATTTTTTGCTACCTAGTCATATAAGAAAATACTTTCACATGGAAATGGTACTTAAATAAAAGTTTCAAAAATGAAATATTGCATCTGCTAAGGTTAAACATGTAATTGATTTGGCTGTCTTCTGTGTAACCAAGTGAATTGAAAACCATATTTTAAAACTTTTCTTGTTCCTAGAGTGAATTACTGGAATTTAAGCGACAACAACAGGAGGAAGAAAGAATCAGAACCCAGCAGGATGAGCACAGGAGGTATAAATGGCTCATAGCGTAGCATCTTTGGTTAAAAACATTACCAATAAATTTCTTGCAATGTTTTAGGCAAGCACTACAGTAATATTGAATGCAGTTTTGAAATGCATATTATCTTTTATGCGAGGATGACAGCTGCTACACATTTGTGTACGTACACATACAATACCAATTTTTTTCTGGATAGGTGGCATACATTTACACTAGAAAGCTGAATTGTGCTCTCAAGCTATATGTTTATTTAGATTATATTTCATTTGCTTGCCATGGAAGAAAGTATCTTTATTTTTTGAGATGATGCATGGTCATTTGTAGTATTGATGGTGAAATACCCATCCTTGAATACAAAAACTTGGACAAAAACTGCCATAAAATTGTTTTATATTGACTAACATATTAGAAAAAATTTAAAATAGGACCAGTAAGGACTTTTTAATAGTGTAGGTATTCTCTATTCAGTACCCAGTAAAATATCATGTTGGTATTGGGACAGTGTTAATAACCACCATATCTGTCATTATTGTGTTAGGATTTTCCTGAGGGGCACTTGGGTTATTGGAGTTTATTGCAGTGAGCTTGTGTGTCTTAGGAGAATAATTTAATGCAAAGGCTCTCATGATTTAAAGAAGCAAATTCTTCTTTTGAAACTTAGTGGCTTCTTTCACGTGTTTAAATTCCCCCTACCACTAAGGTGTATTTTTAATTGTGGCAGTTTCATTCTGTAAATGAGGCTTTAAAAGGCATTAATAGAAACTCTCAATACTGTAGCCACTAACTGTGGATGGTGCGCCTATCCTTTTGACTGGATTATGCTGCTCCATCGTACAGTCAAAATAATTTTAAAATGTCAAATGTGAATCCATGCATTCTCCTCTGCTTATAATAAGACATCAAAACTCTGATACACTGGTTAGGCTATTTTGTTGGGTAAGGGGACACCATTACTGCTACCTATTTTTATAAAATAGGTCACAAATTAATTTAGTCTTTTATAGGTTTATCTCATTTTCTCTTTAAACGTCTTTCTATTTAAAAACCTGATATTATATAACACCAGTTATTAGTATAACCAGTTATTTTTTGGATTTTTGAGGATTAATTGGGTTGTAAAGCTTTAAGCATCTTAAAGATAGCAGTATGTCACATTAATAAATGCCGTTGCTAATAAATTAGTCTTTAATAGGCATGCAATAAAAATACAAGTTATTTGACTAGAGGTGGAAAGGATTACTTTTTTTTTGTTGTTATAGGAACATGGATCCTCATTCTTTAGGTTTAGTTCCATACCGCTGACTACTTAAATATTGGAGGGTATTCATTTTCTACACTTTATTTTCTCTTTCAGTTGATTCTAGCTAAGTGTGGATCCAAATTTAATCCATGAAAAAATATCTCTGATTAAAAACTTAATAATCATTTTTGAAATAACTGATCGAGTCTTCAGCCATATTTTTAATATTCTGAATCAGTTTTTGAAAATAGTTTATATTAATTTTGTCTTTTAGAGTTTACAGTGAGCTTTTACATGTTATCATATGAAAATACTCACTCAGTAATGTCTTTATGAATAAAATAGCTGTGCTCATTCCTGCTGCGGACAGCAACACAAGCTGCATGGTCTGTGTGGAGGGGACATGTTAGCTTTTCTCCATGGGCATTCATTCTATTCGAGTAAAAAAGACAATGTACTTTCTACTGTTTAGAAGTTCACAAAGCCAAAACTCAGGCCTGACTTTTATAATAGAAAGCTTGTGGGATTCCTCACAGGCTTTCAATGAATCCTGTCACGATTGAGCTTGAGTGCACCTACCTGCATCTGATTCGGTATAACTTTTTTTTTTTAATTAAATCTTTATTGTTCAGATTACATTTGTTCCTCTTTTTTTTCCCCCCCATAACACCCCTCCGGTGCACGATTTTTGTCCAGTTTCTTCCCGCATCTCCCATTCCCCTTTCCCCCCCAAGAATAGTCAGTCCATTCCCTTTCTATGTCCCTGATTCATTATAATCACCAGTTCATTCTGTACATCAGATTATTTATTCACTTGGTTCTTAGATTCACTTGTTGATAGATGCATGTTTGTTGTTCACAATTTGTATCTTTACCTTTTTCTTCTTCCTCTTCTTAAAGGATACCTTTCAGCATTTCGTATAATACTGGTTTAGTGGTGATGAACTCCTTTAGCTTTTCCTTATCTGTGAAGCTCTTTATCTGACCTTCAATTCTGAATGATAGCTTTGCTGGATAAAGTAATCTTGGTTGTAGGTTCTTGGTATTCATCACTTTGAATATTTCTTGCCATTCCCTTCTGGCCTGCCAAGTTTCTGTTGAGAAATCAGCTGACAGTCGTATGGGTATTCCCTTGTAGGTAATTGAGTCTCTTTCTCTTGCTGCTTTTAAGATTCTCTCTTTGTCTTTTGCTCTTGGCATTTTAATTATGATGTGTCTTGGTGTGGTCCTCTTTGGATTCCTTTTGTTTGGGGTTCTCTGCGCTTCTTGGACCTGTAAGTCCATTTCTTTCACCAGGTGGGGGAAGTTTTCTGCCATTATTTCTTCAAATAGGTTTTCAATATCTTGCTGTCTCTCATCTTCTGGCACCCCTATTATTCTGATGTTGGTACGCTTGAAGCTGTCCCAGAGGCTCCTTACACTATCTTCGTATTTTCGGATTCTTTTTTCATTTTGCTTTTCCGGTTGGGTGTTTTTTGCTTCTTCGCATTTCAAATCTTTGGCTTGATTCTTGCGCTCCTCTGGTCTGCTATTGGGTGTAATATTCTTTATTTCAGAGCGTGTATGCTTAATTTCTAGTTTCTTTATCATAGCATCGAGGGTCTCATTAGTTTTCGTGAGGCTCTCCAAAAGTTTATTGCAAGCCCTCAAAATTGCGTTTTTTAGCTCTATATCCTCCATTTCTGTCATGTTTTTTTGTCTCCGCATTTTTTATGCTTTCTTGGTGCACCCCCTAGTGGTCTTTGTGCGCAGTCTTGTTCTAGTTGAGCCTTGATTGTTGTAGTTAATACTAGAGGGATTTGACCACCAGGCCGACTGGCTGTGTGAATCAGCTGTGTCTGCCGCGGAAAACTTCTGTCCTCTGGGGAGGTGCTAATCTAGCCTTTGCCTGAGGCGATCCGGCAAATGGCTCTGCGCAGGGCTTGGGCGGGGCGGGCTCAACAGGGCGGGCGGAGGGAGCCGTTATGGTGCCCTCAGTCCTGTTCCCAGAGGCTCTGCTTCTCAGAACCCCCGGAACCGCTGCAAACCTCGGAGGGAAAGCTGCCTTCCAACTGATGCCAGACACTCCCGCTTCTCCCGTTTGGGTCCGAGTCCCCAGCGATTCGCCCGTATCTGGAGCTCAGAGTCTGAGACTCCCCCCTGACCGAAAACGACAACCGCGCTCTCAGCCACCAGCCCGCTTTGCGCGCGCACCTCCGCACCTGAGTTTTTTCCACACTGCGCCTCCTCTGAGCCTCGGTGTGCTGTTATTTTTCCTTCTAGTTGAAGAGTCTCTCCTCAGCCAGCCTTCCTGTGGTTCTGGGTGATGTCCGTTCCGTCTTTTAGTTGTATTTTTGAAGTGGTTGTTTGCGGCAGCAGTCTCTGGTGTTTACCTATGCCGCCATCTTGCCTCTCCTTGGTATAACTTTTTGAGTAAGAGAGGGAAGTTTAATCTCCAGAGAGAAAAGACGGAGACCATGGAGGTCAAGGACTTGAAAGGAACTGGACCGTAAGCTGAAAACTGGAGTGAATTGAATTGATTTATTGAAACTTGAAACATCCTTGAATAACATTTTTTTAATCTAAATTAACCTTGATAAGAAAATCTAGAGCATGAGTTTGAGAGCAATAAAATGTATGTACGTTCTAACATTAGTAAACAAAAATATACTGGTACTTTTTTTTAATTTGAATTCTCAATAGAAATTGAGAAAAATAATATATTTACCACCCATGATCTCTGGTTGACCGCCTCTGCTGTCCTAGTAACGGGTGCTCAATTGCATCACTTTGCATGGATGACAAGCCATCAGTCTGCACAGTGCTTGAGCGAATTGAGTGCAGTGGACAGTGAGCAGTTTTGCAGCCTGCCTTCACCACCATTGGTAGTTTCATGATGCATCTACAGCCACAGAAGCAGGCATAGATGAGGACCATGCACCTGGATAAATTATTCATTTACCTTTTACATATTAGAGCATGTGAAAGCTTTGTTCTCAGCACTGGGAATAGACTAAGCAAGGCAGAGGTCCCTGACTGCTTGGAAATTACAATCTGGAGGAAAGAAATAGAAGTCAACAATTTAACAGTAAGATTACTTTACACAATGATGCATACCATGAGGACCACACCATAGTGTGATGTTGGAGAGATTGGAGGTGATAATTCCTCAAAAGAGAGGTGACATCACAGGACAAGAGCTAGTCATGTGGAGACAAAACATATGGATGGCCCATATTCAGGCATAGGAGCAAATGCAAAGGTCCCAAAGGGGGAATGAGCTTGGACTTTTTGAGTCCCCAATCACTGGAAGAGAATAATATAAAATAGGGTAGAAAACATAGGCAGGAGCCAGAAGATACAAGATTTTGTAAGCCAGTGATTTTATTCTAAGACTAATGGAAAATCACGGGAGGGTTTTAAGCAAAAGGAAGGCATGATCCCTTTTATGATTTAGTAAGCTGGTTATATGGAGAATGGATCACAGAGGGCAGGAGTAGACGCAGAAGCAGGGTGAGAGAGGATAGTGGTTTGGACTAGAATGGTGGTCATGGAAGAAATGGGTGAATTCCAGATGTGTTTAGTGGGTAGAGCCAACAGTACTTATAGTGGTTTGGATATGGGGTGGGATGGGGATGTTGAGGGAAAGCCCATCTTTGTTACTGGCCAAAAGACTGGATAAAAGCAATCCTAGGTTCCTGCGCAGGCCAGAATACCATTGGTTGTGTTGTTTAAAGGGGAGCAGGGGAAGCTTTCATTTTCTTAATATGCGCGTCTCCAGCTCAGTAAGATACTGTTCAATCTGCGTGCTGAGAGGTCCTGTAAAGGTGATTTAAACTTGAGCTCGGCAGTGAGCCAGGCTTTCCAGAATATGTCACTTGGGTAGATATTATGGTGTAAGGAAAAAACTTTTCTAATAACTAAGATGTAACCAGTGCTTGGTGGGACTTGAAGTTGTTGAGAAAAAAGCAACCTAATAATCCAGAGATCCAACTGGGTCAACATGCAGTTGGCATTTTAGCTAGTTAGCCCTGAGCAAGCATAGACAAGTAACCCTCCCCCACCCACCCCAAAAGCCCAGCCTCTGACTTTGCCACACAGCAGTTATCATCTTCAAAGTTTCCAAACCTCCCACAGTCATGGACTTACAGCCACCCACCATGTCCACATTCTCCTAATCTTCATGACGGAAAAGGAGATTAATGTGATGGGCCAATCTGCCTTTCCTCCCATAAATGTGTATTGAGTAGCTGCTGTGCACCAGGCATTGTGTTGCTAACAAGAAGCTTACAGTCTTAATGACACTATTCCTCAGTAATTTGCTGACAAGGGTACCTGTCACAATGTTTCTCCAGCCATCACCTCCCTGATTCAACTCATCCATACCAAGGCAACTCAGAACAGGATGTTGTCTTTAATTTACTTTTTTTAATTAAAAATTTTGTTAATTAAATATTTTAGTAGAGCAGGAATATCCAAGTCCATGACACAAATATTTAGAATGATTATTTATAAAGTGAACAACCAGGTAATCAGCTCCAGAAATAGAATATAACTATTACCCTACAGTTAACTTATATTCTGACCTTTATGGAAACCACTTGCCTTTCTTCATGCTTTTGCTTCCTATGTGTTAAATTTAATTTCTGGAATTGGTTGCTGCAAGTATGTCTGAATATCAGCTAAAGATGTACCCATTCCCTCTTGAAAGTTCAGGTTCCCCCTTTCCCATACACTTGTCCCATTTTTCTTCTATTTTTCACTTGTGGGATTTACGTTAGCAAGACTGACAATGGGGTAAGGGCATATGGGAGGGATGTTTGTCTTACAACAATAGTGTCACAGAGCTATTTTTGATTTCTCTTCATGTTTTAGTTGTTGTGAGTTCTATCTTTCCTCAGTCTCTGGGGCCAAGAAAGATCTTGATGAACTGGTAGAAGATGGACCAGTGGAACTGAAATTAAGAACTGTGTCCCTCTGGCCTGAGCCACAACTGGCACCAGGTCCAGCAAAGGGCTGTTAACAGCATGGCATGTGGTTAATGTGAAAAGAAGTTTCTGTAGATTTCTTATAAGCTGAAGGGAGGAAGCAATCCCCATAGGCAGTCATACAGCACAATAGGCTCTCAAAAATCGCTCAACCCTGCAGCAGGCTTTTTACTTACACACATTTTTCATTGTTTTAAAGGGTAAATAATGCTTTTCTGGACCGACTCCAAGGCAGAAGTCAACCAGGTGGCCTGGAGCACTTTGGAGGCTATTGGAATATGAATGGTGGTAACAGCTGGGTGAGTTTTTCGTTTTCTCTTTAAAAATATCTTTCAAATTTGAAGGATAAAAACAATGAGAATTTAAAAAATATGCTGTGGCCTTCTCCCCAGATATTTTTTTGTGCACTGTTCAGCTGTGTGATGGGCAGTCAGCCAGGGTGATTGCTGTAAATTCCACAATAGCCTCCGAGAGAGGGAGAAAGTCCTGACTTCAGCTCTGGCCAATTACAATAAAAAATGACACCTGCCTTGTTCTCACCCTGATTGCCTGGACTTCAGGCTTTTTATCACCCCTGGCCCAGACCCACAACACAAACAAATGAACTTTTTGTCTCAGGAAGATTTTAACTGAAATATGGTTATACAAATAGTAAGCATTCTCCAGTAATACAGTTTTTTCAGTGAAACTAGCATATCAAAGAAACTAAAGTTTATTTTTTCACTGTAAAATGATGTTTTTAAAAACCCTACAGCAAAAGGCACTTTTTGAAAATGAAATGTCCTTATATATTTCTGTGAAGAAAACCTTGCCACTTGTAATACGTATTTAATGTGTTTTGTGTGCACCATATATTATTGAACCAGCACCAGGACTTTGGAATGCTGGACTACATATGTTTATGGGGTTTACAATGTGTATAGAACCAAAACTAACTACACTAGGCTTTACAAGTACAATTTAATCGAAGCCCAGGTACATATGTATCTATTTTTTTTAAAGGAACAGATAGAAATATTTAAACTGGTAAAATACAGCAAAATAATCAAGTGCTTGCAGTAATGGGGTGACCCGTGGAGACGACCACCAGGACTCAGATCAAAATTTAGGAGCCTTTATTAAGCTGGCCAGCGGCTACAGTTACAGCCCCCTGCCGAAGCAGAGGTTGAACTGCAGCACTAACTACAGGAGTTACAGCGTTTTTATTTGTAAAAACCACAAAGTTACAAAACCTTAGTTCCCGACACAGTACAGCATCATTACAGTGACTACCTTTCTATCTATGTGTTCTAGGAACAGAGAGCACAGCATGCTGGGAAGGGGCCATGAGACCATATCTCAAGGCCTGGCCTGATGTCAGCACATTCCTATCTATGTGTTTTAGGAACAGAAAGCACAGAGCGCCCCATCTGGCCCAAGCGCCAGATATGCAGCCCAGCACACTTGCTGACTTGGAAACTCTAGAGAAGATCCCTCTTTAATGAATACCTGATGGACAAAAGATCATTTTGAAAAGATAAGCTGTTAGGAATGTTACACACATGTTTTCTTAAAAAGAATCTAGTAGTTAAAATTGATAGATAGATTTCACAAAAGTATATATAGTGAAGAGAACTGAAATCAGGCAAATTTGCAGAGAATGCATAGTGGATGTATCTATTTACCCATAATGTATGCTCATGTGTATCACTGTAGCATTCAGAAAAGAGGTAATATGGAAGAGAGAAAATAATCTAAACACACTGTTTTTGCATCATGTGTTGCAATTTACAAATTATTGACTTCTATAAATATGTGAGTAGGAATCATGTGGAAAATGGGGCACAGTGAGTTTAAGACATTATCCACGTTCATGGAATTTATGTTATGAAACGTGATTGAAACTCAGATTTTGGATAGGACTTAGAAACTTGCTGCAGATTTTCTCCTCTGCTCAACCATTCCCCAAATTTAGAAAGAACCTAGAAAAATAGCTGAGATTGAGGGGAAGATGATGGGAAAGTAAATTAATACTGCATGGGCTGCTGCTAAGAGAATAAGCATTGGGCTTACCAATGACTATTGGTAGGCCTTCTGTAAGTGAGCTATGAACCTTTGCTTAAGTTCCTCACTGATTGAAAAGCTAGGAACACACCCTGGTCGGTGTTGCTCAGTGGTGGAGTGCTGACCCACGAGGAAGGGTTATGCGTTTGATTCCAGTCAAGGGCACGTACCTGGGTTACAGGTTTGTTCCCCAGTCCCGGTTGGGGAACATGGATGTTTTTTAGTGGGGCAGGCATATCCAAGTCCAAAATGGTTATTGGCTCTTCCCACATCTGAAAGAAATGTGACAGAAAGGTGAGAACTTCCTCAGGCGCCCAGCTCTAACTCCACATCTATCACCACCTGGATGCCTGCCCTTCCTTTGGACCAGTTTCTGTCTTCTCCACTGTCTGGGGGACAGTCATCAGGTGTTCCATCTCAACCAAAAAATTTCCATCAGCATAAAACATTAATAAATTATATTGTTATCACCTTTCCTCTTGATATTTCTTTGTTCCCCTTTAAAGCAAAACTTTAAAAGGTGTCTATTATTGCTGTCTCTAATTTCTCTCCTCCCACTTCTCTTATATCCACTCTAATCAGGTTTTTTAAAAAAATATATATTTTATTGACTTTTTACAGAGAAGAAGGGAAAGGGATAGAGAGTTAGAAACATCAATGAGAGAGAAACATCAATCAGCTGCCTCCTGCACACCCCCTCCTGGGGATGTGCCCGCAACCAAGGTACATGCCCTTGACGGGAATCGAACCTGGGACCCCTGAGTCCGCAGGCTGACGCTCTATCCACTGAGCCAAACCGGTCAGGGCTCTAATCAGGTTTTAGACTTTACCAGTCCAACAAAAATGCTCTTGTCATGGTCATTAACAATGTCCACATTGCAAAATTCAATGTTTATTTCTCAAACTTTATTTTTTGACCTGTCAGCATCATTCGTCATGGTGAATCACTTCCTCCTTTTTTGAAACTTTCTTTACTTGGCTTCTGGGACCCTGTGCTCTCCTGGGTTCCTACCTATTTCATCAGCCAAATCTTTCATTTTCCTTTGCTGAATTCTTGCATCTTTTTGTCCTCTCAACATTGGAGTGCCTCAGGGATCTACTGTGGACCACCTTCTGAACTTTATGTTTATTTAATATCTTGGTGGCCTCATTTATTTTCATAATATTACATATACTACATGCTTATTACTCCCAAATTTTAATTTCCAGCCTACACCTCTTCCTTCAAACTCTAGTCTTGTATATCCATTTATCTACCCAACATCTCTACTTGCATATCTAATATATATTTCAACCTTAACATATCTAAAACTTAACATTTAATCCCTTTACCTTAATGTTCTATCGGCACTTTTTTCTGTTTGCATAACAGTGCAGCCCATTTCTCATATCCCCCCCACAGATGATACAGCAGGAATTATTCTTGAATCTTCCTTCAAAATATATCCAACCCAACAGCTTCTCACCACTTTCACCACTATCATCCTGCTTCCAACCTCTACCCATGCTCATCTAGATTCTTGAAATAGTCTTTCGGTGGTTTCATTGCTTCCACATTTCACCACCTAGAGTCTGTTCTCTATATGAGAATGACCCCTTTGAAACAGATCAGATCCCATCACTCTTCTGCTTAAAGCTCTCCAATGGCTCCCAAGACTCTCCAAACATCTTGGAATAAAAGCCAAAGTCCTTACAGGAACCTACCAGGTGCTACATGATCTAGACTCCACTTTACCCTCTGGGGCTCTCCTACGCTGCCTTTCCTCATTCTTCCTAGGCAGGCTTCCTTCTTGCTGTTCTTTGAAAAGTTGAGGACCTGGTGCTCTCACCTTATGGCCTTCACACTGGCTGTTACCTCTCCACTCTTCTCCAAAGTATCCATATTAATTGTTCTCCTTCAAGTATTTTCTTGAATTCCACCTCAGTGAGGATTCTTTATTCATTTATTTCGTGCTGCCACCTGTGCCTTTACACCTTTTTTCCCCATAGCATTCTGTAATTTCTAACATAATTTTCCAACATCATTAATTTATATGTTTTGTTGGATATTTACTCTTACTCTCTCCCTGTGGTAATTTATGTTCCATATGCCATCAGAGCAGGGCCCTTTGTTTGTATTCCAAACATAAAACAGTGACTAGAACTTACCACATGTGCAAGGAAACAGGTGGCTGTGATTGAGGGTCAACAAAACAACAAAGATTTTGAACTAAATGATGTGATATACTAAATTGCATTTTAAAAAGCTATGTATTAAACATTTGATGAAATAAATGTTGGATTTAAGACAATGAGCCAAAACAAGAGACAATGCCAACCAAGCAGATTTGAAAAAAGAACAAAACAACTTTTAGTAACAAAAAACATAGTCTTTGAAATTAAAGCACTCAGTGAACTTATCATAATAAAGGGAAAACAAATTAAGAACTAAACCATAATACTATTCTCATCTATTATTTGGCAACTCCCCTCCTCCCCAAATGAAAGATTGACAATATATTCTGTTCTCTCACACATTGTTGGTGTAAATTCAAAATGATACAAACACTATGTAGGTTAATTTATTACTGTCTTCCCATAAAATAGACATATTATAGCAGTTTTACTAAATTTTCTAGGAACAGATGATTTCAAATGTCTGAAAAGATTTTTCAGATAAATGAAAAGGAGGAAATATTCCCCAAAACGATTAAGCAGGTAAATGTAACTTTCAATCAAATTCTGGCAAAGACTATACAGAAAAAAATGATAGAACAGTCTCACTTATAAACATGGATTTAAAAAATCACAAAATTTCGATGGATTCAATAGGGAAGTTTTTAAAAGGGATAATATGCCCTTATCAAATTGAATTTATTAAAAAATGCAAACTTAGCTTATCATAAACAACTAAACAATATAAAAATAAAATAAACAGCAAAAATTCACCTCATAAATTAGAAAAAACACCATATAATCAATCACATCAATAGTTACTGAGAAAGCATTTGATAAATTTCAATACTTATTGTGGTAAAAACTTCAAGAAAACTAGGAATGAAAAAAAAATTTTAACCCATAAGTCACCAAAAATCTATAATAAAGTATATCAATAATATTTTTATATCATACTAAGGATTGAAAAAGTTTATAAATCACAGATGATACAGAATATTGACACTGATAATATCCATTGATCTTATTTAGATTTTCCCAGTTTTACTTTGTTGTGTCTCTCTCTGTGTGTGTACTTAGTTCTATCACATATGTAGGTAGGTCCCTGTATCCACCAGAGTAGGGAAGATTCTAAACAATTCTATCAACACAACAGTCTTTCTCAATATTAGCATTTTATAACCACACATATCTCCTTTTTTAGAATGAGTACCCATACACAACTACTGGGAACTACAAGACTGTCTTCATTTCTAAAATTTATCATTTCAAAAATATTAATATAAATAGAATCACATAGTATGTAAATTTGGGGATTGGCTTTCTTTCACTTGAAATAATTCCATGGAGCCCTAGCCAGTTTGTCTCAGTGGATAGAGCATTGGCCTGCGGACTGAAGGGTTCCAGGTTCGATTCTGGCCAAGGGCACATGCCTGGGTTGCAGGCTCGATCCCCAGTGGACAAACAGGAGGCAGCCTATCAGTATTCTCTCTCATCATTGATGTTTCTCTCTCTCTATCCCTTCCCCTTCCTCTCTAAAATCAATAAAAATTA